CCCACACACACACACACACACAAACAGTTTTTCCTCTGATGTGCACATCAGCCCAGCGACCATCATGGGTTTCTTCTTCTCTCAGGAACAGAACATTGGGTCCTTTATACCGACCCAAATGTAATGAAGCTCTTGGAAACAATCCCTGCTAATGCTCCCTGACATTAAAGCCACTGGCAGGCTTTAAACTCACCTGCTGTGTCTTTTTCGTTTTGCCTCTTTATTGAAGCTCCAGAGGGAGTTTTGTGAGCTGCACTCACACAGTGTGTCTGGAGTAAAACGCTCTGACACTATTTCTGCTTGATGATGCCTTTTTTTTAAACAGAAAAATGTCTTCAGTAAATAAACTGATGAAGTCATGATGAATGAAAATGATCCAAGTTGACGAAGTCTGGTGGATTTTTTATTAACTGATTCACACTGTCTGTATCCTGCTGAGTCAGAGTGACTAAAGAAAAATCAACTCAAACAAGTAACTGAGTTTAACTGTGTTCTTATAAGGCGACCTTTCAGACCACAGCCTGCGACTCCGGGGCCACATGTGGCTCTTTGGTCCCTCTGCAGCAGCTCTCTGCAACTTTAACCGAAAAGAATAGGAAACTACAGCTACAAGTAGTTATTACAGGGGGGGCAACAACATTAAGAAGGGGGAAAAAAACACCAGTATGCAATGAATTTTACAGCAAAAGTGTCATCTGGTTTATTATCTCTGGTTGCAAAGAACTGTAACAGTAATGTTCAAAATAATCTGTAGTGCAAAATCAGCAAAACACAGATCAAAGAAATTAGCTGCATAAGGATAAATTAAATTGTGCAAAAACAGACTAAATTAAATAAAATAAAAAGTAAAATATCAAGGAAACACTTGAATAATGTAAATTAACTACTTGAAACCATGTGAAATGGATTAAAAAAATAATTTAAAGTTGAATAAATAGTTTTTTAAACTAATTAAATGTATGCAAAAATTTGCAAAAGCTGAACTTAAAATATTAAATAGAATCATTTAGAAATCATTACAAAAAAATAAAATAATCCCACTGGGGGGGGGGGGAGGGAGTGCGCTAGCAGCTGCTCAGTTTGCTTATGCCTTAGGCCGGCCCTGCCCCAAACTCTCGAATTATTCCACGATACAAAGGACACGTTTTATTAAAGTCCATAAATCCATTTCTAAAACGCTCTGGTTGTTTCGTTTGAGCGCCCCCTGGTGGTCACACTTTGCTGAGTTTCTGACAAGGTTTTCATTTACACATTGATGAAGTGCTAAAAAATCTCAGCAAATAGAAAAAGTTATGACAGAGTGCAGGACAGTGAACACAGTTTAGCACATTTTCTAGCATTGCAAGTAAAATTCAAAATTTCACTTGAAAAAATGGTAAAACAAAATATGAGCAACACAAACATACACACAAAAAAGGTTAAAATATCCAAATATGTGAAACGTCATATTAAAAGAAAGATTATAAGCATTTACTGGAATAGTCTGAACAAGAGGCCTTTGGACATTGGAGGTGATTGACAACAGTGGATGAAAACATTAATCTTTTCTCCAAACTTCTGAAAAACACGAGTTACATGCTTCTAAATAAAACAAATGTTTCTGTGTTCAGAATATTTGGGATCTAACAAGGAATGCATCCTGAAAATTGTCTGTGATTGATAGGGATACGATTGTTAATAACATATCGTAGCTTTTTTTACATAACATTTATCAAAAGTTAACGTGCTGAAATGTCGCTGAGAGCCAGACTCAGCAGTTTGAGTATTTGCATCTCTTGGAACGACTGTCGGATCAACCAAAGTGAGCGACGTTGATGTGCAAAATAATTGTCAACAGATGGAAATGAAATGCTAAAGTTTGGATCATTCCTAATTTCTGAAGAAACGGTTGACTTAAACCAGGGCTTGGCATAAATTAATTTACATAAAGGTGGTAATGAGGAAATATGAGACTGAGAGGAAATCGCACGATCATCAACGTTATTGTAAAAACATCTTTCCAAGGAGAATGAAGTCAGTATGATCTGAAGTGAGCAATTTTATTTTAAATATAAGGATGAATATGTGCAAAGTTTCCTTTCTGATTGGATTTATTTTTTTTTTCTTCTGTGGTCATTTATGAAGAACAAAATATTTCATTAATCTGATATAAATGCTTTATTCTCCTCCAAATATACAGTGGAGTTTGTTGTCTTGCCTCCATGGGCTGGGACCCCCAAAGATGAACCTAACAATTTATAAAAAAATAAAAAAAATAAGAAGCTTTAATTATCAGTTCCAGTTCCAATTCAAAACCTATGATTAAAAACTGGTGACAAGATATCCTGATGCATGCTCAACGCATGGTGACAAGATGATAATACTTATATCTTTCGAGCTTTAGATAAACATGGCGGCGTCTCAGAATTCAAAATAGGAAAGTTTCAACGGGAAACGTCACAAATCTCTGATGATATCGAACAGATCCTCCCTCCCTGGTCAGCGTCAAATCTACGACACTTCCGACAACTCATAAAAGCTCTCCGCTGCACACATCCCACTTACAACGCAGGACACAAGGACTTCGGTGAGTATAAACCTTGAATATTAACTGGTCTGCACGAGCTGATATTAAACGGTTTAATCCAACAAAGTTTATTTTCCATCAAAGTAATTAAACGAATGTGAGTTTAATACAAGCATAAAGGCCTCCATGTTTAAATGAGGTGACTTATTTTCATTTATATAGAGTTAGCTAGACTTTTTACATAAAGTTTGTGTCCAAAACTATTAATAAATTAAAAGGAAGATGTGTAATTCTAAAAAGATTTTAAAAGTTTGTTTATTCGTCTTTTTGCATGATTTAATATCGTTTTTTTCAACTTTCTTCTCACTTTTATGTCTAACGTGAGTAAATCTTCATTTAAAAAAGCATTTTGTAAACTTAAAAATGGTTTAGCTGTCATTCTAACTCGTTCATAAAGTCTGCAGAGACAATCTTATTAATTTGTCACATGCAAATGAAGCAAAAACTTCTGAGAAATTAATTATTTCGTTTAGTGTGATTCATATGTTTGCGGTTACAAACACAAAATCATAAACGTATGACCACGTTTGCATTTTAAGCCAAACATGCACAAATAAATACATCTGACTCAGGTGAGTCAAGTCACGTTTTCAACTACTTTCAGCCACTTTTCAAGGCTAGCACTGCGAAGTGCTGAATTAAACCCTCCAAAATACAATCTGACTGTGAGTTGTTTATTTCCCCGTCAGAAGAAACGCCTGAAGAAAAGCACAACTGATTAGGTCTACAGTCTGCAGGGACGAAGCTCTCTGGAGAAGAGCTTCACTCCTCCGTCGGTGTGATTAATCTTACAGGAGGTAGTTCAGCCTGAGGTGGAGCCGACAGCGAGCGGAGGGAGGTCAGAAACCTCCTCCATGTTAAACCACAGCAGTCCTCCTGATGGGAAGGAGCACTCTCAGCTTCTGGTCTCCTTAGTCCATCAGGGCTACTGAGTTTGAAAGGTCTTGCAGTTTCAGATTATTAAAGCTCTCAGAACATTACCAAAAAGCTTGTGGTCATATCTGTGCAGCTGAAGACAGAATATGAACATAACATGCAGCCAACAATAAAAAAAATCAGTTTCATAACATTTATTTTAATGAATAAGTATTGAAAAGCTGTTTTATAAAAACATTTCCACCATCAATGTTCACCTTCTGAGAGCAAAATCTGCCTTTTGCTGCTTGAAGCAGCAACTCACTGCCCTTTTTATTTCTGCTGTGAAAGGGTGGCGCCTGCAGTAGAAGTCTCTACAGCCAGTTAGACGTCCCTGAGCTCAGAGAGCCACCTTCCCATGAGGACAGTCCACACCGACACAATAACAGAATAACAGCCCAAGGAGAGGCCCTGACAGTGTTTGGAAGCTGTTTTTACTGTCAGACATCAGCATCTGCAGCCCTTCTGGTCCTACTGAGACTAAACTTCTCTGAGATCAGAAGCAAGAAGTCAAATAAACAACCGTTTGATACGACGGGCTGTAGTTTTACTCAGCTGGGAATAAATGATCTGTTGTCAACAATCCTTAACTTTTCTTCTTCTCTCATCAGTCTTTTCTTTTCCAGATTCAGAAACATGGACAGATCTGTCTCACCGCTCGGTGTGACCGCCAATGTGACCCAGCCTCCGCTCAACGCCACAGTGAAGCCGTTCAGTGTGTTTGATGGCTGTGAGCAGTACATCGAGGCCATTCTCTTTGACCTCACCCTTCAGACCATCAACGTCATCGTGGGGATTCCTGCCAACTTACTTGTCATTGCCATTCTCATCTACAATCGTAAAGAACCCTCCACTTCAGACATTTTCCTGGGCTGCTTAGCTTTCATGGACGCCTACTTTGGCACCATGACCCCCCTTAATTTCCTTAACCTCTACCTCTGGCACAGCAAGGAAGTGTGGTCAGCCATTAAGTTCTCCTTTGGTGTGAAAGACACCAGCGGCCCGTTGTTTCTCTCCTGTATCTGCCTGGACCGCTTCTTGGCCGTGCTCTTTCCCATCACGTTTGGGCAGCTGAAACACATCAAGTACAGGGTGAGCCTCACTGCGCTCGTGCTCTTCCTCACCTTCGCCTATTCTGCAACCAAAATGGTGGGGGGCTTCCACAACTTTGAGAAGGTCTTCACCTATGAGATCCTGGCAGCCTTTGGCTGGATGGTGGTGTGTAACGCAAGCATCCTTCGAGCCCTTAAGAAGTCCCCCAGTGCAGGGAGAGACAGCATGCACCCCATGAAGAAGAAGGCCTTCAAGATGGTGCTCTCCATCCTTTGCATCATCATATTCAACTACCTGCCACCGGTTGCTCTGTTCCCTTTTGAGGACCATTACTCTCCTGATGTGTTTCGCTGCTACGTGCAGCCTGCGGGCTTTGCCTTCATGAACATCAGCAGCACCATCCAACCACTCGTCCACTTGTCTCGTCTGGAGAAGGTCCCTTTCCTCCCAGAGGCCTGGGTGAACAAAATATGTTCCTGCATCTCTGCAGGGAGCAGCAAGCCTGCATCTGAACAAAACACATCTGCATAGATTAAACTAACACTGTTTACTTTTTAGATATTTAATTATTAAAATGCATCAGAGATTACACAACTTGACTTTCTTATCCTTAAGTTTTAAAAAGTTGATTATAATCTGTAAACTATTTCCTTGGAGGCAGCTCTCCATCTTCAAAGAACTGAAATATTTGTTAGAGTTTGGCGCCATCATGTGCACAGATAGATCAAATATCATCTATGAATCATTTGATGAGTGGCGTGTTGTGTTCAGGTGTTTTGTTGTAAAACAGGTTTTCTTCCTTTTCCAGTTTATGAAAACAGTATGTAATCGGTGACAGTAATCTGTGACAGTAATCTGTGACAGTAATCTGTGACAGTAATCTGTGACCGTAATCGCTGATAAATCAGTGGAAAAAGTCACAACCCTAAACTTTGGATGAAAAAAAAAGTTCAGTTCAACTCAGTTTATTTATATAGCTCCAAGTCACAACAGAAGTCATCTCAGGGCACTGAACAGAAACATTCATATACATAAAACGTAAGTAAATATATTTATCTGAGGAACAGACTGCTTCGTTTAACTTAATCGCAGAACTCTCATCTTGAGCAAGCGTGAAGGTGACAGTGGAAAGGAAAAACTCATTCATGAGGAAGAAACCTCGGGCAGAACCAGACTCAGGACAAGCGGTCATATGCTTCATCCAGTTGGGTTTGAGAGGAACTGGAAGGAGGAACAGATACACAATGGCAGGTCGAGAATCACATGTTAAATAATATCAAATGAAAACTCTTCCATTTTAACAATTAATTTAAGGAAATGTGATCAAAATGTATTTATGTTATTTTAACAATGTTATTGTAAAACATATTTAAACATCAATTTTCTTTTTGAACAGAAAAAAAAATTACAAATTGTTTTAATAAATCAAAATGATTACTGCAATGCAGTAATGTAATTTGCGGATGCTGATGGAGAAGTACAGGGAGGGTCAGAAAGAACTCCAATGAGTCTTTGTGGATTTAGAAAAAGCATATGACAGGGTGCCGAGGGAGGAGGTGCGGTATTGCATGAGGAAATCTGAAGAGGCAGAGAAGTATGTTAGACTGGTACAGGACATGTGTGAGGACAGCAGGACAGTGGTGAGATGTGCTGTAGGAGTGACAGATAGCTTCAAGGTGGAGGTGGGAGTGCATCAAGGATCAGCTCTGAGCCCCTTCTTGTTTGCTCTGATGATGGACCGACTAACAGTTGAGGTCAGGCTCCCCCATGGACTATGATGTTTGCAGATGATATCTGTGGTGAGAACAGGGAACAGATGGACGAGAACTTAGAGAGGTGGATGTATGAACTTGAAAGAAGAGGAATGAAAGTCAGTCTGGAGACAGTGGCATTGACAAAACGAGTGGAGAAATAACTGGAAGTGGCAGAAATGAAGATGTTGACTCAAAGTTCTCCTTAGACAAGGATGGATAAGGTTAGGAATGAGATCATCAGAGGTACAGCACAGGTTGAACTTCTCGGAGATAAAGTTAGAGAGGCCAGACTGAGATGGTTTGGGCATGTCCAGAGGAGGGACAGTGGGTATACTGGTAGAAGGATGTTAGAAATCCAGCTGTAAGGAAAAAGACAAAGAGGGGATAGATGGATGCAGTTAGAGAGGACATGGAGGTAGTTGGAGTGAAGACAGAGGATGCAGAGGACAGAGAGAGATGGAGGAGGATGACTCGCTGCGGAGACCCCTGAAGATGGAAAAGCCGAAAGAACAACAAGAAGAAGAAGATTATTGCAATGTAGCATAATTATTGTTTACTGTGAATCCCTTAATAAAATCTTTATTTATATAGAGATTTTTTTTACGTTTCTCATTTTGTGTGGAACATATTATTGCCTGACATGGTAAACATCACAAGATTTGACAGAACCCAACAACAATAAAATAAAAGTTGGCATTTTGAGAAAAGAACAATAAAACAGACTGGAAAATGTTCATTAAATGTTACAATAATAAACAATATTAGTACAAAAAAAGTGCTATTAATAAAAGCAGGACATATAAAACTGTTTCACAAAATAAAAGCATGGCAATCTAAAATTACAGTGCACATCATTTACTAAGTTATAACAAATTCCCTGCAAGGACAAAACAACACTTTCAACTTATGTGTATTGTTTTATCGAGCTTTTTAATTTTGTTGTCATGTTGCTGTTTTTATGTTGTGCTTTTGAAAATGTGCCAAGTTGTATATTTTTGTGGTACCTGAAATTTATCAAGTACTTTGTCTGCGGTGTCTTCAAAAGGACTGCGGCCACAATGTGAAAGTGTTTTTGTTGCAGCGTCTTCATAATCAACAAACATACACAAGTGAATAATGAAAACTTCTCAAATAGCTCAGCAAAACACACACAAAAAATCCTGAATCACCATAAACATTCACACAATTTATTCAAACCAAATACCATGAGCAGCACTGCAGTGACAAATATGTTTGCAGCAGCAAAATATCAGATGAGAAAAAAACATTCAATGCTGTCAAAACAGCAGCTAAAGGCCAAGACTGGCAAAATGGTGGCTATAAAGCTAAAACCTTTAAAACCTCTTGACTCTACTTCCTCAAGCAGCTGAGGCGAACTGGACTGGGAAGCTCAATCCTCACCTCCTTCTACAGGTGTGCAGTGGAGAGTTTCTTGTGCTCCAGCATCAATGTGTGGCATGGAGGCTGCACAGCTGCAGATATAAAAGCTCTGCAGAGTGGTGAAGGCTGCACAGACGATGTTGTGTAGGGATTGTGGTTTGTTTCTTGGTATCTCGCCCCATCTTGTGTTGTGTTATGTCTTGTGTCCTTCTGATCCTAGTGTATGCCTTCATCTGGTGTTATGTCTCTGTTCCTGCACTCCCTGGTTTCCCAGTTTATCATTTCCCCTGATGTGTTTCAGCTGTGTGTCCTCACAGGTGTTTTGTCTTGTTAGTCACTGTATAAGTCCATGTCTCTGTGTTAGTCCTCGTCCTGGCATCGTATGCTGTCCACTGGTGATGTCCTGTCTGCTCCTTGTGATTCATGTAAGTCTTGCTACCCTGACAACCTTTTGTTGTTGTAAATAAATTCTTTATTTTATAATCTCCTGAGTCCTGGACTGCCTGCCTGCCTGCACCATTGGGTTCACCAGTCAGTTTGTGACATGCTTGGAGTCATCCTCCCCACCATCACAGACATCTACACCTCTGGATGCAGGAAGAGGGCAACTTGCATCATGAAGGACTCCACTCACCCATCACACACAGTTTTTGCCCCGCTCCTCTCAGGCAGAAGGTTGCAGAGCATTAAGTGTAGAACCACTGGACTGAGGAACAGCTTCTACCCTGAAGCTGATAGACTCATAAATTCCTAACCAGGATAATCACTGTAAGAAATAAATAAATAAAATAACTGTAATGCCACTTTAATTGGTGATTGTGACTAACTGTGCTGCTGACTACCTCATGCTGCTGTAGTCATATGCATCTGCTCACTATAGACTCATGTTCGGGCTGCTGTTTAATATACTGCATTATTTTACATTATTAGTATTTAGCGTATATCTTAGTGTATATTTTAGATCCTAATATACCGTTTCTTTTAATAATTTATATTTTAGCTATTTTTGGGTGTAACTGGGACCTTGTGTACACAATTTTGTTCCACCTCATGTACCACATGTGATGTGAATAACAATAAAGACACGTGAAGTTCAACTTAAAGCAATATCTAAGCTCAAGCTATTAAAGCAGCAGCTAAAAACTAAAAACAGCAGAACAGTAGCTAAAATCTAACACTTTCAAAACAACAGCTGAATGCTAAAAACATCAAAACAAAAGCTAAGATCTAAAGCTAGCACAACAGAAGCTAAAATCTAACTCTATCAAAACAATAGCTAAAACTTAAAGAGTAGCTAAAGTCAACAACCAGCAAAATAGTGACTAAATGCTAAGAATGGCGAAACAGTAGTTAAAGCCTAACATTATCAAAACAGCAGCTGGAAGCTAAATTTGTCAGAGCAGAGGCTAAAAGATAGAAGAACAGATAAAATCTAAAACCAGTCAAACAGCAGCTACAAATTTAAATATGCAAAACTTTAGATAGAAACCAAAATTAACAAAACAGTAGCTAAAAGCTAAACCTAGAGCAAGCATGTGGAAGGATTTTAAAGAGAACAAAACCCAAAAATGGTAGCCATAATGACCTGAAGCTGGATATATTGGTATGTGAATGGCTGAAATAGCAAAAAGTTTAAGTATTAATTTGAGTGGAAAAGTGTTGGCACCAAATATGCTCTTTGGGTTGAGTATTTGTGCCTATGAGTTTAGGAAATGTACAAAATAGTTAAAAAATAAACCTAAATCACTCAGCTGCTGCGATCAGTACCGTCTCTGGCATTATTCTCAGTGGATGACTGCTCTGTGTATAAAAATATGGAAATAAAGGCTCCGTGAATGTTTGTGTGAACTCATAAATGAGTGAGTTGTCTGCAGGGTCCAAAAAAGACACCCGTCCATTGTTGTAATCCAGCTGTACTTTGACCTGTTTGGGCATATTTGAAACAGTCAGTGGGGTGGGAGGCGAGGTCATTGCCCTGAACTCTCCGTCCCGGAAGCATAAAGTCCAGAAACCGTTTTCAGGACGAGCGGAGATCTCTACGTTTCTTAATATAGACGAGGAGGCCACACCCAGAAACCAGTCGGGGTTACTTCCTGTTGTCACAACCCAGTGGTGACTTCCTGCGTCGAGAGCCGTCATGCCAACCACTTCGGCGCTAATGTGGAAGCGCTCTGGGTTGTCAGGGCAACAACTGGGCCTCTTTGAGTAGTGGAGGGACGTGAGGTCTTCAGACAGGACGAGGCAAGGGTGTGCCGTGTTTGGATCTAAAGTCACAGGAGCTAAAGACAGGAAGTTAGTCTGTGAGTAACAAGGACATATCAACGTGTGGGTTGTGTAAATCCTCCGTGGGAGTACTCACTGTAGTCAGCCTGGTCCAATAATTTCTCCCAGACTCTGTATTTGAGGTTGGAGAGGTGCTTCGCCACGTCAATCAGAAGGCCAGACATGTTATTTAAAGCAGGCATCACGTCTTTACTTCTGTAACATTGACACGTCGGAGAATTTATCCCATGAATGCATCAAATCACTTTCAAAACTGATAACATACCTGTCCTGAATGGCTTTAAAGTTCTGAAAGAACAAAAATGATAACAATAATTAATCAAAGTTGGACCTAATTGAAAAGAAAAAACAACTTGGACTCTTGAAAAGGACAAACCTTCAATAAGACTATGTTGTCCTCCATCAGCTGTCCCTGGATGACAGAGATGGTCTCGGTAACAGAAAGCATCTCTTCTGAAAGCTCTTTGATCCTTTGTTTCATCGCTGCAATCTTCTCCTCTTCTTCTTTCTTTAAAGCTGCTAATCTGCCCGACTCTTCGTCATGGAGGACTTGGTGTAGCTGCTCAAACTGGCTCCTGATCACCTTCTGGGTTTCCAGTGTCTGATTCTGACGGGAGATCGTCGCAAATCGTGTTTTGTTGCCTCTTTATTTTACATTTGTATCATGGAATCACAGCTTACCTTAATGTGTGTGAACATTTCATCTGATGTTTGGTGAATCTTTTCAAGGCTGTCCAGCTTTTTTTGCAAGATTTTCAGAGAAACCTCAAGTTCATCCTGAAAGTCAGCGTGCACAGCTGCATGAAGCAAAATGTTTGCAACACTTCTGGATATTTTCCACCTGTTTTTCTCTGACAGCGCGGCCAATAATCAGGACTAACTTGTGCAGCTGCATTTTATGTTCTGTTGTTCCTTCGTGACAATAACAGGGTGTCTTTCACTTACCTTGCAGTCCAGCAGCGCCTCGTCTGTCGGCAAACATTCGTGGTTCTTGTGCACTTTGGACGACTGACACACCACGCAGATGGGCTGCCTGTCAACCAAACAGAAGAGCTTTAACTTCTCCCCATGCAGGCTGCAGTTTGTCCTGTCCTCTGAGTTTTGTCTCTTCACTTGCTGAAGAGCCTCGCAGACGTTTCTCAGAGCCAGATTGGATGTGGGACTGGACTTGGGGCCCTTTTTCCTGCAGATGGGACATCCCCGTACCCCTGTGTCCCAGCACTGCTTCAGACAGTCCCTGCAGAAGCTGTGGCTGCACGGCAGCAGAACCGGGTCTCTGAAGATGTCACAGCACACAGAACACGTCAGATCCTCCTCTGGGAGCGACATCTTCCACAGCTTGAGGTGTATTATTCAGAAAATCCACGACTCAGAAGACGTCCCTCTGCCAGCGATAGCACAGTTCATGCTGCCGCAGACTGCACTGAAGACTTCTATTGTTCTTGACCAGCAGTCACTAATGCTCTTGGCTTTCCTGTGTGTGGCTTCTGTGGGTGTAACATCAGTCGTGCAGCAGCTTGAACAACACTAACTGTAGTATAGCTGGGAAACAGGAAGTAGAGCCTTATTGGTTAGCTGCTAGGGAGCTAAAAACCGGTTAATAACTTGCAGCGAGGCTGGAATGTAATCTTTCAGGACCTGAATGTGAACATTGTGTGTAGATTAAACAGCAACAAAATGTTCAAACCAATCATAAATAAATGAGTTTTAATGACTGTGGAATAAAACGAGCATGAAGTTTATTCATCTGCACTTTCAGTGACTGCAGCATTATTCATAAACTTTCACTTGTGTTCACGCTGTCTTCCCCAAAAAACAAACCAACTTGTATTTTTATTCTCTTGAGTCTATAAATAGCAGGCCTTGAAGCGCTAATGTCGATAAGAAGATTAAATGTTGTTTGATTTAGTCTCTTTTTGTCTTTTTTTTAAATGCTGAACAAAAAATAGGTGACATAACTTTTTTTTTTTTTCAGAACAGAAAGTGTTTGCTGGCAGTGAGCTGGGGAATTACTGAAATGACTAAATCAGAAACCAGAACCTGAATGATGTGAGGAAATACATGTTTGTTCAGACTAAATGCTTTTGAGCGTGAAACTGAAAGTTTAATGATTTGTACACATTTTGTGGTTAGGTTCCTGGCTTACTGTGGTAATATTCATATCCAGCAGAGAAGCCAAAATTAACAAAAAATTAAAAAATAAATAAATAAAACGAAACAAGAGAGCAAGAGATAAATTATAAAATTAGCAAATTAGTGGCTAAAGGCTAAGTCAAAGACACCATAAAGAGCAGCTAAAAGCTAAAAACAGCAGAAGAGTAGCTACAAGCTCAAACTAGCAGAATAGCTAAAGGCTCAGGTGGTGACCCTGTGTGTTCCTTTGTCTGAACTGTTAGCAAAATATATAATGAACCACTTGACTAATATTAATAAAACTCCAAGAAATGTTTAACGATCAACTATTGGAGTCAGTCCCTTTAACTGATTAACATCTCAAAAGCTCAAATACCTCAACTACAGCCCCATATCCCAAATGAGTTGAAAAGAAGGCGCTGTGGACGAATTCCCATCAACCTGGAGTACCTGACCAAGATCCTGGAGCTAGTGGGAAACTCGGCTCGTGACAACGGGAGGACCGGGATCGTACCCCGGCACATTCAGCTGTCTGTCTGTGGTGATGAGGAACTCCGCAGACTACTGGGAGGAGTGACGATCGCTCAGGGAAGAATTCTGCCCGACATTTGGGCAGTCCTGCTGCCCAGGAGGACCGAGAGGCCTGCTGGATCTGACAGCAAGCTGAATCCAGGTGGACGGATCCGTATCTGTGGCCAAATTCTTCGGATTTGCTGCAGGAGATCCTTCCTGCCCACAGCTATTAGCATCTGTAACAACTCTTGAATGAAACCAGAACGATGAGCTACGACAACACTTAATTTCCCTTTGGGATGAATAAAGTATTTTTGAATTGAATTGAATTTAGCTGCTATAACCTTGACAAAAGAGAAATGGCTACGACTCAGCCAGCGTAACAGAAATTGATCTCGAACTTTGTGTGGTAGTAGCTGAGACGGGGCTCTACATGATCTGAGCACTAACAGGCTGTGCAAATAGTTTAGTTCATGAATGGATTTTAATTAAACGTTTAAGATGTCGCATGAGATCACATTTATTTTCGAGGTTGGACCAAACTCGTCCCTTCTGAGCTTAAGACGATTCAGGTTTGAACCTGTGATTCAGTCCGTGAGAAAATGAGAATCTCCTCGCATCCTATCCTCCTTCTCCGCGCGGCTCTCAGGTGCCTCCCTCTCCTCCGGCCTTTGGTTGCCATGGCGATGACGTCAGGTTGCGCCACTGTTCGGGGCCAGTAGACGCTCTCAGAGGCGGCGCAACAACTCCTGGACGATCGACTGCAGGAACTATCATCCTGTGAACCCCTGCTGCTCACGTCCCCATCAGCTCCTACTCGAACAGCGTCTCGCCCATTTCTACAAAATGCGCGAAATTGTGCATTTGCAGGCCGGCCAGTGCGGAAACCAGATCGGAGCCAAGGTATTTCCCCCAGTCTTTTCATGCTTTTTGTTTTTATCCTGTGTTGGTTTGTGCAAACGCACCGATGGCGGATAGGAGACCATTTAAGCCGGAACTTTTTTTTTTTTTTTTTTAGAAAAGCAGCGCGGAGTTACTTCAGCTGCAAAAATCCTGCATCTGCTCTAAGCGTGCAGCGATGAGCTAAAGGTCAAATCTCTTAACATGAGCATTCAAGCCAGAAAATAAAAAAGATCAAATAATTTGAAACTGATCTAATATTTTTCATTTTTCATGCAATATTTTTGCTTTTTTTTTTTAATCAAATGTTGCATGAAAATAGAATAACTGTGATGAAAGCTTCTTGTCAGTGAAGGAGCACTCCCCTCCCCCCTTTATCTATGACCTATTTTCATATTTCAGTTTCTTACAAGGCGTTTCAGCTGCTCCTAGTTATTTTTATGCTTTTTTTTTTTTTTAAGATTGAATAGGAGTCAAGCCTTATTTATCACTGCGTCAGATTATTTGCCTGATTTACTCCTGAGAGAACATTTCAGACGAATAGACACCTTCTGTTTTTCATATTTACCATTGAACTCAGCTCCCTGAATGCGCCTCCATCCTTGCACATTTGGTGATATGTGTAAAAACAACAACTCCCTTGTCTCTCTCCTCTCCCACCATGCCTATTATTTTTACTCTCTCAGTTCTGGGAGGTGATTAGTGATGAACACGGCATTGATCCCACTGGTACCTACCATGGAGACAGCGATCTGCAGCTAGACAGGATCAGCGTCTACTACAACGAGGCCACAGGTAGGCTGCAGATTCAGATCCCGTTTAAAACTTCATTGGTCTTCATCTGCTCAGTTCTGCACCTATATAAGTATTTAATCAAGAGTGTCTGCTTTCAGGTGGAAAATATGTGCCCCGTGCCATCCTGGTGGATCTGGAGCCTGGGACGATGGATTCAGTCAGATCTGGTCCCTTTGGGCAAATCTTCAGGCCTGACAACTTCGTCTTTGGTATGCTGTGTGTTTAAGTCTAAATGCAGTAGTTTGTCTTGTTTTTAGAGCCTGCATAATGAAGTGAAATGTTTGTGACTACAGGTCAGAGCGGAGCTGGAAACAACTGGGCCAAGGGCCACTACACTGAAGGAGCGGAGCTGGTGGATTCGGTGCTGGATGTTGTGAGGAAGGAGGCTGAAAGCTGTGATTGCCTCCAGGGCTTCCAGCTCACTCACTCCCTGGGTGGAGGCACTGGCTCTGGCATGGGTACGCTGCTGATCAGCAAGATCCGCGAGGAGTACCCCGACCGCATCATGAACACCTTCAGCGTGGTGCCTTCTCCCAAAGTGTCCGACACGGTGGTGGAGCCCTACAACGCCACCCTGTCGGTCCACCAGCTCGTTGAGAACACCGACGAGACCTACTGCATTGACAATGAAGCTCTTTATGACATTTGCTTTCGCACACTTAAGCTCACCACCCCTACCTACGGAGATCTCAATCATTTGGTGTCCGCCACCATGAGCGGGGTGACCACCTGCCTGCGTTTCCCTGGCCAGCTCAACGCCGACCTTCGTAAACTAGCCGTTAACATGGTGCCCTTCCCCCGTCTACACTTCTTCATGCCAGGGTTTGCCCCCCTCACCAGCAGGGGCAGCCAGCAGTATCGTTCACTGTCCGTGCCTGAGCTCACTCAGCAGATGTTCGACGCTAAGAACATGATGGCTGCCTGCGACCCGCGTCACGGCCGCTACCTCACCGTGGCCGCGGTCTTCAGGGGACGCATGTCCATGAAGGAGGTGGACGAGCAGATGCTGAATGTGCAAAACAAGAACAGCAGCTACTTCGTTGAATGGATCCCGAACAACGTAAAGACCGCCGTCTGCGACATCCCGCCCCGCGGCCTCAAAATGGCCGCCACCTTCATCGGCAACAGCACTGCCATCCAGGAGCTGTTCAAGCGCATCTCAGAGCAGTTCACTGCCATGTTCCGCCGCAAGGCCTTCCTCCACTGGTACACAGGCGAGGGTATGGATGAGATGGAGTTCACCGAGGCGGAAAGCAACATGAACGACTTGGTGTCCGAGTATCAGCAGTACCAAGACGCCACCGCTGAGGAGGGCGAGTTCGAGGAAGAGGGGGAGGAGGAAGGTGCATAAAATATCCTCTAGAGCTGTCATAGCTCATGTCATCCCTCAACTCCATCCTCCTCGTTGCATCTTGAGCCAAAATGTCCGCCACGCTGAAGAACCATCACCATCCAGATTACTGTTGCTCCAGAGAAAGACATCAATGGTTCTAGTGGTTTTTAGTTAAAACGTGTGTATGTTGTGAATGCAGTGGATTACTGAGATCCTTCTGTCCCGTCGTTGCCTTTCCACATGACAAAACAAGACCTTTTAACTTTGAAGCCTTGGAAATGGAGAATGAATAAATTCACCTTGAAAGACCTAACACATGCCTCCGAGTCTTTATTCACTTATGACCTCATGTTTCTACAGAGCAGCGCAGAAATCACAGCAACAATCTGTCCTTTGACACCAAATCTGTTAAACCCACAACACTAACTGAACCCCCACCCTATTTCATAAATATGTTTTAGTCTGTTATAAAAGTTTAAAGATAAAAAAATGACAGCTTTTAGGACTTCAAGGAACATTTCTTATATATTTAGGAATCAATTTAAAATGTAAGTTAATTATAAGGATGGGGATAATAGTTATTGTGTAACTTATTCAGATTTGGTGCACCAAATTGTGTAAAAAATCATAAGATTATACTAAATAAATGACTTTATTCCATAAAAGCAGCATACATTTTTTGTCTTTGCCCAGCCAGTTGAAATATATCCTCCTTGAAGACAAAGCAAAATGTTTTTTTCCTGTGTATTCATGTATTTGATTCATTGGCAAAAAATATAATTATTCACTGAACTGATTTTAGTGAAGCTTTCCATAAGTGATATTTAGGTTGATGTCTGCAACTGAACGATCTTTGGAGTCAATTTAAGATAAGATGGCCACCACATCAAAGCAGTCTTAGCAAAGACATGACCTAAAATTTGGAGTTATTCACTGCACGCACTCCCTTATCTAACAGACCACGCAGGATATTGAATGAGTTGCAGGTAATGTGATTTTTAAGGACTTACCATCCATTTGTCAACATATGATCTTAGTTTAAAACTCTGGCATAAAATGCATTCCCTTTAATTATTAATGAAAATGTTAAAATTAAGTTTTATCACCTATTTAGTTAATGTTGCAGCTTTTATCGTTTTTAATATCCTATGCAAGAAAAACTACCCAAAATCTCATCAATTAAAAAACAAAAAGTCCCTTTTTACCTTCTTAATGTTTTTAGACGTCTTAGTCCAATGCAAACACTTGTAAATGTTTTATAATCACTTGTCATTCTTAAGATTTTTTTTTTTTTTTTTTGCTAGATGAAACCTTTTTAATTCAAGTTTCGCTTTATACTTTGCTCGTTTTGTAACAGATGTATGATTGACTCGCATTTCTGCCATTTCTCACTTAAGAATGGAGCTTTCCTGCTCTCTTTACATTATACATTACTGTTGAATAATTTTGATACTTCATGTACAAATACATCGTTAAAACATTTACTTTTGTTTCCTGGAACTTGCTTCCTCAAAGCTATAGACTACTTTATCTTTATTAAATATATGTTCATCTTGTAGCCGATGATTCTTAAAAAGAAACAGAAAATTAAAATGGCGTAACTGACGTCCGTTCATCTCTTTACTCGCACCTTTTCAGAAATCAGGTGTGTAACAACTAAAGATCAGACAAATAGTTAAGACATCAGTTCACATAGCAAATTCATCCATCATCTTCTGACCGACAAGATTTATTTATAGAAATATTTCACTGTTTATATGATAAATATACACAACGTGACAACATTCTGGTTGATTTTAAAGAAATGTGCATTACATGGTTGATGAAACGCTTGAACGGTGCGTCTTCAGAGCAGGTTGTTCAAAGAATACTTCAAAGTGTAAACAGTTGATTTATTTGAGTAATTTCGTAAAAGGACATTTTGAATCACTCAGTGGGCTCCTTGATGATTTAGGTTTTCAATGCATCTATAGAAAAGTCAAATAAATAAAGAAAACATCACTAAAGTCTGTCCTTTTTAAAGAGTTTTGACTGAAATGGCTATAAAATGATGAAGTCGGAGGTGCAAGATCAGTGAGACCTGGATCACGCAGGCTGTGAAACGTTTAATAAGACAAACATTAGACTAAAATGCTTCATGATTATACAATACTGCAGCTTCATCTGTGAAAAACTATTCAGACGTTTGAAATGTTCTCATGTTCCACTAGAAGGTCCACCCAGTCCCTCTCATCATTGGACCAAACAGAAACTCAGTGCTTGTTAAAAAAAAAGCACAGTAAGCACCTTCAAGTGTTCATCGCTCACTCTTCATCCCCTCTTGCATTTTGAAGAACTTTGCTTCGACTTTTCACGTCAAAGGTGAGAGCTACGTGTTTGCGTCTTGTTTCAGCACAACCCTCAGATGAGTCTTTCCTCCTTTGGTAGCGTCAAAGCGTCCGGTGCAGCCACGCTGCGAGCGCCAGACTGTTCCTCGGCGCTGGGTCTGTAGGTCCCTTCAGTCTGCCTCTTCTTTTTCACCACACAGAACAACCAGCCGAGAACGGCCACCACTATGGCCAGAACGCCCAGGGTGACCGTCGGGGCCACGATGGCTGCAATGTTCGGCCCCTGAAAGGAGAAAACGTTGTCCGGTTATCCCTGAATCATGACTAACGGCAGTAACTTCCTTTGGATAGAAGTTTTTACTCACCGTAGTGCTGTTGGAACTAGTCTCATTTATCTTTAAGGTATAATTACCTGTAAAACAACGACATGTTTAGAGTCTGAATTCTGACGACCAAAAGATTTGATACAAAATGCGTTTGCAAATCATGTAGTGACTATTTTATTTTTAAAAAGGCACAAGTTTTCATCCATTACTTAAAAAAAAAAAAAAAAATCAACCAACGTGATTTTCACGCGCCGCCGAGGACAAAGCAGTGATACTGTTGTTGGGCACGTGCATCTGTATGTGCACGTTTGTTTATAGCTGTAGCGACTTCGATCCACAAAATACAGTTGCTGCAGACACCTCTCCAATGAGCCATGCTGAGTACAATTTGTGTTTTCAAGTTAAAGGTAGATCTGTCGCAATAAACAATAAATCAATTAATCGCATGATAAATGAAAATTATCAACCTCATTTTTATTTATCGTTTTATCGTTCCTTCATGTCTCTCTCTTTCTACTGAAGACACTGGATGACAAAAGGCTCAACTCTGTTGCTCTTCACTGACCCCTCCCTTTCTCTTTAAAATCTGTTTTAACCGTCCAAAATCGCATTTTTGGATCGTTAAAAGCAGCTAAGCTGAGAAGCTAAGCTATGAGCTAAGCTAACAGGCCTATGGGGAAAAAAAAAAACTCCGTCTTGTTGAAGCTCCAAAAATTCACAGTTGAAACCAGTGCCTTCATGTAAAAAGTTGTTTTTCTCTGAAAAATGAAGCTAAGAACTTGTTTATTGATTTTTTTTAAACGCTTCGTGTGAAAAATGCTATGCTAAAGAACTCAACCCACACAGAGTGTCCACCATTTTGAGAACCGAAAAGAGCCCATGTCAAGGGGCCTCCCTCCCATTTTTCTTAGAGATACGCTGCTCGCTCCCTCACTATCCATCCTTCGGTTCAAACTGTCTTATACTGCCATCCGGTGGTCGATAAAATGTACTACACCCAAAATAAATCAACTTTTCTTCTTAAATTTGACATTAATTACTAACTATTGTCAAAGTTCAAACAATTTTACCATTTATCACAATAATTTCTTAGACAATTAATCGTCCAGCAAAATTTGTTATCGTGACAGGTCTAGTTCAAGGTTTTTAATGTCATTCGCATCACATGTGGTACATGAGGTAGAATTAAATTCTGTATTCAAGGTCCCAGTTACATCCAAAATAGCAAAAATATAAAGTATAAAAAAAGACAGTGTATAAAGATCTGAGAGAAAAACTAAGATATACATTAAACAAACGCTAAACAATAAGCTAAAAGATCTAAGATATAAGCTAAACACTAATAAAAATGTAAAATAATATGGCATATTGAACAGCAGCCCAAACATGAGTCTGTAGTGAGTAGATGGGTATGAATGAATACAGCAGCATGAGATTTTGCATATTTATTTCAAAACTAACACGATGAACTTTTACCATCCATCAAACTGCACCTGTATTGATTTACATCGCTTGTATGACTGAAAATGATGATTAAGGTGTAGATCAAAAAAGTGACGTTCAAAAAAGACGTTCAAAAAAGTGACGGTCAACAGAAAAGTTTACAAAAAGAACTACTAACCCCGCACCTAGTGCCATGACCCAGATCAGCTAACGTATGACCACGCCCCTCATGCAATTACCTGAAGAGCAGGACAAATCTGAACACCTGGGCCACCATAACTGTTAAACAACACATGACAGTCATTTTAGCTCTTACAATAGCATTATGAAAATATCTCATTAAAGGCTGGCCAGATTTACAAAAAACTCTTAAAAAGTACTGTAATTTCCAGTCTATAAGCCGCTACCTTTTTCACATGCTTTGAACCCGGCGGCTTATACAATGATGCAGCTAATTTATGGATTTTTTTTAACCATCCATGTTAAAGGCAATGATCAGGAAGAAAAATAAAACATTTACTGTACATATTTGTGTATGTAACAGATAGATATTCAATTAAAAGTTTAAAATATATATTTTTGTGTATAGTAGTCCCTTGCTACTTCGCGGTTCGTTTAGCGCGGACACACAGTATCGTGGTTTTTCAAAGTAAGATTGGACATGACACACAATTGGATGTCTGATGGATGAGCCGCAGGATCGGCATCAAATTTGTATTTAAAATAATTATTTAGCACCTGCTGCACAGGTCTGTGTGCAGCCCACAGTTGCAGAAAAGGCGTCCTCCTGCACTTTTGTGCAGACCATATCTCTGTTCTGCAGTGGAGAAGTGGGCGTGGCCAATAACCCTGGCAAGTGGTAGAGAGAGAATCATGACAGTCTCTGCTCTTTTTGAGCATTTAGAGTTTAGAGACATTGTTTAGATTATTGCAAGAGTGTGGGAAGGGTTTAAAGCGCCTTAATATATATAAATATATATATATAT